TATCGCCCACCCCCACCTTGCACCACTAGTAGCTGCTAACTCCACTGGTGCAGCTTTGCAAACATCTTTTATAGATTTAGTTTTCCAAGAGCTTCTTTGTCTACTCCTCAGTCTTTCTGTCGTCTTGGCTGCAGCAGGCCTAAACGGTGAGTTTGGGCTTTTGATGGAAAAAAGGCACCACGGTAAATCAAGTGGCTCTTTTAATCTATAACACAAGCAAACAAGAACCAAAGGAAGCACTTCCAGTAGTCAGTCACATGCAGTGAACTACTTCACGTTCAGTTGGTCCATCGTTCTGTTTAAAATCAGCCTGTGAGTCACTGCTGACTCACATCCTGTGTAGGATCCACTGAGATGAAGTCACGGTGAGGATGGATGCTGATGACAGTGGGAGGAAGCGGTCTGCATGTCAATAAGTCCATAGTAACCCTCTGCATGCACGGGCAACTTGTGTTACCGTGGTTACCGTGGTGTTTGCATGCGTTTCTAATAAAAAGGTGGTTGATTGGCCACACTGCATCTGTACTGAGATCAGCAGGAGCACAGTTTAGGCTGATAAACCTGTTCTCCTCCTACTTTGGTAAACACAGTGGGTCCATCCATCACTGTTATCGCAGCAGTCCCCGAGGTAAGGACGCAGGCGGTATAAGTGGTAACTGGGTCAGAGGACTGAAAGCACAAGCTGAATCCTGACAGTGCAAATGCAGATGTGTGTGTGTGTGTGTGCGCTGAGATGCTGCATGTCACCTGTGCTGCACGATGCTTCTGCATGGCACACAAACTCAGCTGTAGGATGTCGTTTATCTTTTCATGTGCAGTAATGAAGTGAGGACGAGATGTTTTCTCATTGTTGATTTTGTGACATCTTTACTAACCTGGTTTCTTCCCTTTTCCTCCTTATCCCTTCCTCTTTATCCTCCTTCTTTTCTCCCTGTTTTGTTATATTTACACTCTTCTTTCTGTTTTATTATTTCTTTTCTGCAATCTCTTTCTTTACACTTTTCCTTCTTACCGCTCCCATGATGCTTCCTTTATCCTACGCCCCTGTTTTTATCCTTTCCCAATCCCCACGCTTCAGAGGACTAGAACCCGCCTCCATCGCCATGCTGACTGTCAGCCCGCTGTGCTTCTGCTTCTGTGCACCTCCTCCCTTCTCCCCGTACAACACACACACACACACACACACACACA